GAGAGGAGCCATTGGCCTGATTCAGCAGGCTCTTCTCATGTTTTTATGACACTCTAATTATATGATCAGGATTATAATAGGATCTTAATTTGGTATTGGGCTTCAGCATGGAGTCGAGTTCCAAATTTTGGAGGGAGGAATTCAGTTTACCAAGCTTAGCTTGTTGAATGAGAGAAATTTTGTCAGTCACTATATATTCCGATTGTGCTCAAAGGAGAACTCTTTTGAATCCAGCCTCCTAGGAAGAATGAAGGGTTTATAACCAGCAACAACAACAGCTTTAAAATATGGCTTCGGTGCTGTCTTCTTAACATGATCCATAACAACAACAACAACAACAACAACAACAACATAATTTATTATTCAGTATACCCTGCCCATCTGGCTGGGCTTCCCCAGCCACTCTGGGCAGCTTCCAACAAAATATTAAAATACAGTAATGCATCAAATATTAAAAGCTTCCCTAAACAGGGCTGCCTTTAGATTAATCCTTCTACTTCTTCTACTTCTTCTTCTTCTTTTTCTATGATTATGATTATTAAAATTTGTGTTCCACCCTTTACCTGTAGATCTCAGCATGGTTAACAACATAAAAAGACAATTTAAAAAAACAAAATACATAATGAAAACAAGAACAAAAACAAACCAATAATCCCCCCTCCCACAACACATTTAAAAGTGCATTGGATGTCAACCAGCCAAAGGCCTGGTTGAAGAGGGATGGTTTTGCTTGACACTGAAAGGTGTATAATGGAGGCACCAGCAAAACCTCCCTGGGGAGGGTATTCCACAAACAGGGAGCCACTGCAGAAAAGTCTATTACCAGCAAGTATAAAGTAATTGTAGCACATGAGGGTGCTCTTTTCATTTGTGGTGCAAAAGTGGCAGAGCTCTCAGCTCTACTTTATGATTCTCAGAGCCACACCACTCACAAAATGATGTTCTTATTCACTCACATCCCACAATTAAGAATTGACAATTCTGTGCAAGGTAGTGAAGCAAGATAGAATATAAGCCAGTGGAAACACAACAAAGGCACCCAGGTTTCCAGACAGCCATGGAGAAAGTGTGAGCTTCATTCCCAGTGTAATTCTCTGAGCCTGTGGAGCCTCATGCCTACATTTACAAATATTTTTTTTTAGCTCTAATTGCATACCCTCCAACATTTCTCCAATGAAAATAGTGTGACATCCCATTCCATATAACAATAATTTTACTATTTATACTATTTTACTATTTATACCCCACACATCTTACAGGGTTGCCCCAGCAGCTTCCAACATATAAAAGCATAATAAAACATTAAACAATAAACAATAATAATAAAAACCTTCCCTATACCTATACCTTCAGATGGCTCGGGGGTTGGATAACTCCACACCCTGCAACATTTCTCCAATAAAAATAGGGCCATCCTACCATACCCTCCAGCATTTCTCCAATGAGAAATGGGAAAAGTGGGACATTACAGGATCAAATCAGAAACTGGGACGGCTTCTCTAAATCAGAGACATCCTTAGAAAATAGGGACACCTGGAGGGTCTGTGATTGCTGCATTGCAGGGGCTTGGACTAGATGACATTTGGAGTTCCTTCCAGCTCTTCAGTTCTATGTATCTATGAAATGGCATGGTTATACGTTACAAATCTGTTGCTATGAGCAGGCCCAATACACTAAATTCATTCTAGTGTATTCATTCATCACAGAATCATAGAAATGTCAAACTGGATGGCAAATCTGGATGGATTGAAGGGTGAGTAGGAGGTAGGTTGGGATCTGCTAGATCTCTGGGTGAATTGCAGTAGATCATAGAATTATAGAACTGTTGAGTTGGAAGGGGCCTTATAGTATATTTCCATTCACAAGTTGCATCCCTTCCCATGATTTTGCAAATTAAAGAGCCCATTGGAGGTTCCTCTTTCAACCACATAATTCTATAAGTCTAATTTTAACTGGTTTGTGCCTGTACAGTACTCTGGATGAAGAATAGAAGAAGATTCCACAGAAGCAAAAGAAAAGAAAAGTTATTTCCAGAGCTACCACTGTGATTCCAATTCCAATGAAGGAAAGACAGGAAGAAACCCCATTCACACCATGCAAAATGTTTGTTCTTGGAAAGCAGATGACAAAGCCAATGGATTTCTCTCAGCTGATACAACAAATGAATGGTGTTTCCACTATGGTCCTCCCACCTACAAAGGTAGCCCATCCATCCACATGCAGTCAAATTAGTAGTGCTTTATTTTGCTTTAAGAACACCAAAATGCAAAATCCTAATTGTTTTTCCAGATTGCAAATTTTAGAAATATATTTAGGCACTAGGAGCGGATATATTGTTTAGTTATTATCCTCTCATTGCTCACATGAGCTAGAGTACTACGGGAGTGCCATCCTTTGAAGCTTAACTTGGAAACTAAGACAAGGTTGATTTAACCTTCTAGAATGAACAATCCAGGATACTTTAAGGCAGACAAGATTTTCCCTGGTACTACCCCTTCACACACACTCCTTAAAACTAACAATCTCTCACACACATTGTTTTGTGAAGAAGTAAAAGTAATATTTAATTACATAATTTAGGCATTGAAGCACCAGTTACTGCAGCAAAATGAAGGCAGGTTTATAACTACTAAGTTACAAAAGTACAAAATTTAAGTTCAAAATTGGCAGTCAAAGGAAGTGATTTCACAGAGTTCTTACTAGCAAATTTTAAAGGGAAAGCTCTGTGTGCCTCAGCCCCTTCATGTGCCCATCTGGCAAAACATGAATTGTTAGTTTGACTGCAATAATGTCCCTCAAAAATGGCATAACTAGACCAAATCTTCCAACTCGATCGGGACTCAGGGTTGCTGTCGCAGGGGAGGAAAATGATCAAAAACATGTCACACAGGAAAAAGGTTCTCCATTCACAAAGAAATCATTCTGGTTAATTTAATTCATTGTAGTGTTTAATACAGAAGAACATTTCTACAGAGCCTGGGAAGAAAGCCAAGATTTTTATATATAAATGGATTTTATTTTAAAAGCTAATGTAGTAGGGCAGAATGCTTAAGGATTATTTCCTCCCTCTCCCTCTCTCTCAACAGATATGCAAAGCTGGTATTGTATCTAGAAGTAAAAAGGGGAAACATAGAATTTGCTGCTATCTGAAGTTTACAAATTGTGTTGTTTTTCCCCCCTTAAGGAGGAAAATAAAAATGCAATATATTCCACAGGAATGTAATCGGTGGGACTTTTACTAATCTTATTCCTTCCCCTCTTTAAAAAAGTTACTTTGTTTGTTTGGTTTTTTTTAATATTACATCAGAAACCTAGGCATCAATTTGCCAGGGGGGCTTTAAGGATACATCTATCCCACATGCTTAAACTGTTTTAATGATAAATTCAACTCTACAGGGAATGCTAGTAATCTGGAAAGGTGAAAGTTCAGTTTGTCTAAAGAAAGTGGCTGGCACCTTCATAAACTGTCATTCCCAGAAATGTCTGCTGTGGTTTAATCGTAGAGCTAATTATCTGTGCAGGCCAATTCCTGGAAACATAGAATCATAGAACTGAAGGGTTGAAAGGAACCTCCCCAAGGGTCGTCTAGTCTAACACCCTGCAATGCAGAAATTACAGCTTAAGAATCCTTGGAGGATTGTCATCTAACCTCTCTTTACAAACCTCCAATGAAGGAGAGTACACCACCTTTATCGACTTCTTTCTTACTTTCCTTGGTGTGCAAAAATCATACATAACAACATAAGAAGAGTCTGGTGGAACAGGCCAATAGCCCATCTAGCAACATCCTCTTCTCACAGTGGCTAAACAGTTACCTGTGGGAAGCCTACAAGCAAGATTCTAGCACAAGATCCCTTCTCCATCCTGTAGCTCCCAGCAGCTGGAATCAGAATTGTTATGTACTGAGTTGAATAGGATCCAAACTGCAGCAGTCTGATTGGTCCTAGAACAATAGGATCCAAAAGGCAGCAGTCTGATTGGTCCTAGAACAATAGGATTCAGAATGCAGCAGTCTGACTGGTCCTAGAACAATGCAGCAGTATGATTGGTTGGCAGGAACCACCCAATCCTGCTCCAGATAGAAGTGAATCCACAACCTGATTGGCGTACAGTAGAATTCCAGAATTAGCCAATCATGTGCAGCCCATTGTGTAAATAATGTATATAAAGCAGATACTGTGAGGGGACATTTATTCATTCCTCCTCACCACTATGAGCTGAATAAAGAGCATGAAATCACTTTGCGACTCTGAGTATATTTCAAGAATCATTGCTGCTTCTGACCATGGAGGCAGAGCAGAGCCATCATGGCCAGTAACCATCTATAGCCCTCTCTTCAATCAGTTTCTCTAATCCTCTTTTAAAGGCATCCAAGTTGGTGGCTATCATCTCCTCTTGTGGAAGTGAGTTCCATAGGCTAATTACGTGCTGCATAGTACCCAGAAGAGCAACCAGTTAGTTTGGAACTAAAAAATCCTACCAATGGTTCCTCCCTGCCCCCCTTCCCAGTGAAGAATGAGAAGGTTCCTAGGGATATAGATTTTTTTCTGCTCTTGCTGGCATAATAATGTAATCATAAAGCAAGGTTAGAGATGATATGCCCCAATTCGTTACAGGAGTCATGGGCTTGGTACTTAGGATGGATTTTCAGCTGATAAGCAGGCTGTTTTGCTATGTTCTGCCCGATGAAAACTACAGGAAATACAAGAATGGGTAGAGATTATACCCCGGAGAAGAGGGGAGGAAGGTAGGAGAGGGGAGGACAACTTTTTATTAGACTTCACCTCTACACACACACACACACACACACACACACACACACATAGAGTTTGCCACTCAGCAACACCCTTTCAAAATTTTCTTTTCTATACAGAAGAACGTAAGTGATGGCTACCAACCTAGATGGTTTTCAGTGAGGATCATACAAACCCAAGGAGGAGAGGGCTATCCAAGGCTATCATGCTGGTCATTATGGCTATGCACTGCCCCTGCCTCCACAGTCGGAGGCCGCAATGGTTCTGAAACTAGTTGCTAGAAATCACAGGAGGGAAGAGTTTGCTCTTGTGCTCAGATCCTGTTTACAGGTTTCTTATTAAGGCCATCTGGTTGGCCACCATGACAAAGAGGTGTGGAGCTAGATGAGTTATTGGCCTGATTCAGCAGGCTTCTTTTATGTTCTTAACATAAAAGCATAATAGCAAAAACAGTTTCAAACAACTTAAAATCACAGAAGTAAGGTCGGTCCTAAAAACATACACCCCAAATGTCAAGGCCAGGGTATACAGGTGCGTCATCAGCATCCTGTGGAAGCTATGCAATGAAGGTTCCAGGCATACCTCTGTGGGAAGGGAGTTCCCAGCTTAGGGGCCACCACAGAGAAGGTGCCTTCTCTGGGGGTCACCCTCACTGAGTGAAGGAACTGCCAAGAGGGACCCCTCTGCCAATCTCAGCACCCAAGAGGATCTGCCAGAAAGGTGATAGCCTTTCAGGAATTTGGGTCCTGAGTCGTTCAGTGCTTTAAAGACCAACATAAGCACCTTGAATTGGGCCTGGAAAAAACTGACAACCAGTGCAGCTGTTTTAAAACAGGGATTTTAAAGAGATTTAAATGGAGCCCCAGCCAAGAATCTGACTGCTGTATTTTGGACCACCTTAAGTTTCTGAGTCATCTTCAAAGGCAGCCCCCAATGGAGCATGTTGCAGTAATCCAGCCTGAAAGTCACCAGATCATGGAATACACTTCGCCCAAAGGAGACCTTAGTTAGTGAACCAGCTGGGGCTACAAATGGACAATTGAAGCAACTTGAGTTGCCATTGTTGGTGTTGTGTCCAAGAGTACCCCCAAGCTATAGACCTGTGCAATCTGCACCTAGTTCAGAGTTTAAGTTATAGGAATACATGGACATAAGAAGAGCCTGCTTATTAGGCCAATGGCCCATATAGTTCAGTATCCAGTTTTCACAGTGGTCAAATGTCTGTAATAACCTAGGAATCTAGGCAGCTACAACAATGGCTCACCTCTCCAAAAGGATATGGGAGAACGTGATGCTAACAACACATACCAAGATGAAGGTCTACCAGGCTTGTATGCTGAGCATGCTACTTTGTAGAAGGGCATCGTGGGCAACTTAAAACTGCCAGGAGTGATGCCTCAACACCTTCCATATGTGCTACGTCAGGAAGAATTTGGGCATCACATGGAAGGACAGAGTTTGAAACAAATATGTGCTCTCCCAAGCCCACATTCCCAGCATGTTAGCACTCCTGTCTAAACAATGTCTGTACTTGGTTGGTCATGTACATAGAATGGAAGATGACAGGATCCCCAAGGATGTACTTTATGGGGAGCTGGCTTCAGGCACCAGGCATGCTGGCAGACCAACTCTGCATTATAAAGATGTCTTCAAACACGACATGAAGGCTGACAAAATTAACCCTGCCTTGTGGGAATTCCTTGCAGACAACCACAGTACCTGGAGACAGACAGTTGGGTCCTGTATCCACAGCCATGACAAGAGGAGAAATGTCTGCTGGGAAAAGTGCAGAGAGAAAAAAAATGCCATGGTGCATCTGTAACAACAAAACCAGACACCTCCTTCTGCCCCAGCTGCGTTAAAACATATCTTCCTGTTGTATTGGTCTCTACAGCTGCAGCAGGTGCTGAAACTCTCCAGCAGTTTGATTTTACCCATGATGGCACACTCTTCCATTTTTTCTTGATAAAGACAGGTGCCAGCAATTGCCTCTGGGCCTGGCAGTTCCATAAATGCGTCAGAAAAACCCTGCTGGATCAGGCCAATGGCCCATCTAGTCCAGCATCCTATTTTCTCAGTGGCCTGTGTGAAACCCACAAGCAGGACCTGAGCACAAGAACGCTCTCCCTTTCTGTGGCTTCCAGCAATTGGTCTTCAGAAGCATTGCTGTCTCTAACTGTAGAGTGAGTGGCTAGTAGCCATGGATAAACTTGTCTCCATCAAATCATTTTGGCACAGCAGGCTGAAGTCAATCATTGTTGGCATCCGTCTGTCTCAAGAGACAATGGAGTACGCTTTCTGGGATGAAGCCAAACCACTGGAGAATCACAGCACCCTCTGTGGCTGCAAAGACTGGTAACTTATACCTGCTGTCTCCTGCATTGTTTTTGCTGTGTTAGCAGCACCATAGTGACCTCTCTGGGGCACAAGCCTGGGCAGAGTGCATGGAAGTCATGAGCCACACAGGCGTCATGAGCTGATGTGGTTCAAAGGAAAGCAGAGCAATACATTTGATATCAGCTTGGCTGCAGGAGTTGCTGGAAGGAAGCATGCAATGCACCATCCAACCGTCTTAGGAACTCCACTCCGGATTTGTGTAGGGTTTACTCCTTAGCCATTTCTTTTCCTGATACTGTTCCACAATACAGTGGGTGGTTACGTTGATAATGAACTGGAATTTTTGAAGGCCTGATGTTCCTTTGCTATAAAGCAAGTGATTCCAGAGCCATCTTCAGTGCTTTAATTGGGATGATTTACGGTGTTTTCCTTCCACTTACGTCCTCTCACAGTTCCAAAGAGGCTCAAAGCCAAGAATCAATTACCCATTTCTAGTGGGGGAAGGTCCAGGGAGGGAGCAAACATCCATCTTTTCTCTCTAATTGGCACCAGTGTACCTCTAGCAGGAGAGGGCCCCGTGTCCAATTCATAAGAGTGGTGCATTTCAGAGAACTGGAGGGTGGTGATCTTGGAGAGGGCAATTTTCCAATCCCTAAACTGGGCTGATCTAAGAAGACTCCTTGGTGAATGCTTTATATAGGCTGCTTTGTGTGTTTATGTAGATGAAAAAGGAACAAAATGCCAGTGATTGAAATGCTGGAATACACAGCTAAAGGATCCCTGACAGGTGGCCATCCAGCTTCTGTTTAGAAACCTTCAATGAATAATAGAATCATGGCATTGTATGTTTGGAAATAATCACCCAGGGTCATCTGACCTAACTCCCCTGCATGCCTGAAGACATAGAAAGGATCTGGCAATCCAGCTGGTAGGGAGGTGAGCAGGGACGGATGGAAGCAGATATTCTTCTGACCCCTTTTTGCACTTACTGTCCTTGGTTCTCCATTTAATGAGGATGGTAGCACTTTTCTCCCTGTCTTGAAGCCAGGTGTGCTTATGATTTATTGTGTCATTTTAGTAATTACCCTCCGTTACCCAACTGTGTTGTTAAAAAAAAGAAAAAGTTAAAAATGCAGGAATTTTGTTGTAGCAGCAGCTGGGAATTCTGAGGCATCTACGAAAAGATGAAGAAGGGGACAGAAAACAGTTTCAGCCACAGGAGCACCATAAGTGCTTCATGCTGCCTTTATTCTTGGGGCCCATTCTGTTCAGCAAGGGAAGGGAATCACAGAGGTTCTTGCATTGCAGGGAGTTGCGGTAGATGAACCCCCAGGGACACCTTCCAAGTCTACAGTTCTATGAATCTATTATTTCCTCTTCTTTCATATTAGAAAGGGTAGCATGAAAATAAATGGTTCTGAACCCAAATTTCTCCTTAGGCACATTGTGTTCTTCATTGGGGTGGGTGGGTGACAGGACCTGGGTGGAAACAGGGTGACGTGGAAAGGGTGCAGCTGGAGGGAAGATGGATCTGAGAAAGACGTCAGCATTGCAACCTCCCTTCCCAGAAGCGCTGATGCATCTGTCTGCTTCACAGCTGGCCGAGCCATTGTCTCGCACATATGCTGTGCAGAAAACGTTGGCACAGATATTTTGCGGGAGAGAGGATTGCTAGTGAGGCTTGGAGCATGCGTAAGTGCCTTGAGCGTTGGCTCATGGGGGGTGGGGAAAGGAAAAGTAGTGACCACCCATTCACCCACGGTTACGCCAAGACTTGATTACTGCAATGCTCTCTATGTGGAGCTTCCCTTGCACTCAATCCAGAAGCTGCTGCCAGTGCAGAATGCTGCAGCACAATTGCTAACGGGAGCGAGGCCTTGTCAGCATATAACACCCCTGCTCAGAGATCTGCACTGGTTGCTTATTTGCTACTAGACAACGTTCAATGCACTATAAGTGTACAAATCCTTTAACAACTTGGGGCCAGTTGACCTTAGAGAAGATGAATGTTAGAGCATAGTGCTGATAGCACCAAGGTTGCAGATTTGATGGGGGACAGCTGCATATTTCTGCATTGCAGGGGGTTGGACTAGATGATCCTCAGGGTCCCTTCCAACTCGGTGATTCTATGACCTGCAAGATCTCCTTGCCCCACGTGGGCCCACTCAGCCGCTTCAGTCAGCGGAACTGATACTGTCACAGCAGCCACATAATACCCATTACACATTCATAAGGACTTGATCTTTTAGTGCGGTAGGAACCAAACATTGGCATTCCCGACCTCTTGATATCAGCCAGACACCCTCACCATCTTTTTTTCTGTGCCTGCTAAAAACATTTTTGCTTAGACAAGCCTACCCAGATCTTTAGAAATTTGACCCATTATAATCTCTTTTTCAGTCCCCCTTTTTAAAAAAATTCTTTTGGTCTCTCACAGCTGCATGAGTACAGTGGTACCTTGGGTTACATACGCTTCAGGTTACATACGCTTCAGGTTACAGACTCCGCTAACCCAGAAATAGTGCTTCAGGTTAAGAACTTTGCTTCAGGATGAGAACAGAAATCGTGCTCCGGCGGCGCGGCGGCAGCAGGAGGCCCCATTAGCTAAAGTGGTGCTTCAGGTTAAGAACAGTTTCAGGTTAAGAACGGACCTGCGGAATGAATTAAGTACTTAACCTGAGGTACCACTGTATATGATTCTATAATTTGGTGGGCAAAGAGAGAGAGAGAGAGAGAGAGAGAGAGAGAGAGAGAACAGACCCTCCTTTGAATGGCATTTCTCTGTTCCCTGTTTCCATCTGCACCTGCCCAAAGCTGTGAGGCTTGATATCACAGAAACAGCTGTGATGAAAAGAGATGCAAAGGAAACAGATGAAGGGGGGTCAGACTAGATGACCCTTGGAGACCCCTTCCAAGTCTACAATTCTTTAATTCTTTGACCTCAGCTTCTTGTTGTTTGTTTTCTGGGAATCCAAAGGGCTTGTCTCCCCTCTCTGCTTGAAGGCCATGGTGTTACCACAGAGATAAGGGCAATGTTGCACACCCCAAGAATTTTTATTTCAGTTGAATAATCCAGTGAAACTTGGGTGGGGGTGGCACAAAGTCCTGTTCACATGCAAATACCTCTTGTGGTGGCAAAAAACCAGAGAGCAAAAACATGCACAAGGCACCAGGATACTGAATAGAGTTTCTCAGTTCATTTGCATGTTCCCTTCCAAGGCTTGTCATGGGGACTCCAAGGCTTTTGATTCTATTCTATTTTATTTTATTTTGTACACAAAACAGAAAGAACAGCTATAACAGCTGATGAAAATCAAAAGGTGGAAAGTCAAATTCTAAAATAGGCACAGAGAATGAGTAGAGTTACTCTAAAGAGTATCCATGTTACCTGAAAATCAAGTCTTGTTCCAGATTTGCAAGGCTTGTGAGAAGGCTTGTCTTGAAAACGATGCTTCCAATGTATATGCCATAAAGGAATGCTAAATCCTATAAAAAGTGTCTGGAGGTTATAGTCCTTGCTGAAATTTTCAAATTACATGTAATTTTCCTCCCTTATAGCTATAACCCAGAGTAAGTGGTATATGTAAAACCGATTCTTTTGACAATATATCTACATGGATAGCCTAAAAAATATCCGGTAACATTGATTTTGGACATCAAGCAATAGTTTCTTCTGCAATATTTATGAATCCACAGCTCTCGAGGGCACTTTGCGAGGAAATGTTTGGAGGCAACACTGCTTCTGAATGCCAGTTCTGGGTTCCACAGGAGGCGAGGGTTGCTCAGATCCTGCTTGCAGGCTTCCCATGCAGGCATCTGGTCAGCCACTGTGAGAACAAGATGCTGGACCAGATGGGCCACTGGCCTGATCCAGCACAGCTCTTCTTTTGTTCTTATGTTCTCAAGACAAAGGCATTTCATCTCGGTTTCCTGACTGTGTGTTCTGGAAGCATCCATACTCCCTCAATTCATCCCAAAGAGTCGGTTATATCTCATATCTCTGTTTAAAAGCTAAATGCTACAATCAGGGTGGGTATTACTTTCACCATGTCCTTGCCGTAGTCCTGCAATGCAATCTAGCTGGGGATGGCTATCATGATATCATCAGCTTATCTGACATCTCTGTGCCAACAAAAAAAGTGGCTTCTCTCCTCCCTAAGAAAAGCTCAACAACTTTGACCTGAACCCCTCAAAAAGGGGTAGATCACTGCCAGTTTTTAACTTTGTGAGTAGATCGCAGTCTCTTGGGAGTTGGCGACCCCTGGTTTATGGGGAAATGTGATGCTAACAACCAATGCCAAGATGAAGGTCTATCAGGCTTGTAGGCTGAGCATGCTGCTTTATGGAAGGGAGTCTTGGGTAACTTATAACCAGGTACATCAAGTGGTGGGGGCTGAGGGGTCTTCAGCTCCCCCCCCCCCATTTTTCAAGGAGGGGGCTGGGCTCCCCAAAATCCCATGGCCCTGCTCCACCTTCTCCTCCCTGCCAATGTTGCACAGGGAAGAGGAGCTCCATGCTCCCTATTCCCCACCTGGCATGTGAGTGCCGGCACTGAGGTGGCAGGACCCCCACATGTCCCAACCTGGAGCATGAGCACAAGCACAAGTGTGCTAGGTGGGGATGGGACATGTCACGTGACATGTCATGTGATGCACCCCTGCAATGTGGGGGGCAAGTCGGCACCCCTGCTTATAACTGGTAGGAGCAATGCCTCAACAACTTCCACATGCTCTGCATCAGGAAGATTTTGGGCATCAAATGGTAGGACAGAGTTTGAAACAAATATGTGCTCTCCCAAACCCACATTCCCAGCATGTTCACACTGCTGTCTAAGCAATATCTATGCTTGCTTGGTCCTGCCCACAGAATGGAAGGTGGCAGGATCCCCAAGGACGTGCTCTATGGGGACAAATCCTGTCTTACATAGATGTCTTCAAACAAGACATGAAGGCTGGAAACATCAGCCCTGCCATGTGGAAATCCCTTGCACTCAACCACAGTTCCTGGAAACAAACAGTCAGGTTGTGTATCTACAGCAGTGACCAGAGGAGGAATTAGCACTGGGAGGAGCACAGGCAGAAGAAACTCCATGGTGCATCTCTAACAGTGAAACTAGACACCTTCATCTTCCCCAGCTGCAACAAAACATCTCTCTCCCTTAACAGGCTCTACAGCCACAGCAGGCGCTGCAACCTTCCAACAGTTTGACTCCACCCTCAAAGGCAAACTCCTCCATTGTCTCCCAAGACAGACAGATGCCCACCATCTGTCTGCCTGCTTTCAGCTTTCACTGTCTCAAGGACCTTTCTTTGAGCAGGAGTTAATGTCATCTTTGGTTGTCTGTGGAAAACAGTCATGCTCCATTTTTTCTTTCCCTTTAGCTCAGAAATCAAATGGCAAACAAGATAATAAACAAGAAAGATGGTGACAAATCTGAAGGGATTGGAGAGAATGGCAGCACAGACGATTAAAGGACCGGCTTACGGGGGAAGATTAAAAGAGCACTGGAGGACATGCTAGAAAAAAACTAATCATAGAATTGTAGAGTTGGAAGGGACCTCTGGGATCATCTAGTCCAACCTCACACACTGCAGGAAACATAGCCAAAGTAGCATAAAATTGTAGAGTTGAAAGGGACCCCCAAGGGTCATCTAGTTCAACCCCCTGTAATGCGTGAAAATATTATTGAAAGTGGACCATGCAACCCAGGAGTCCCAACTTGGCCCCATGACTGTGGGTGCCATGGTCCTGACACCAGAATTTGTGGGGAAATTCTTCATGGGGAATTTTGTGGGTGCTCAGGCACTCAGGGTCCCAGGGAGTTGGCACCTATGATGCACCTATGAGAAAAGAGCAGTGGAGACACTGATGCAGTTAAAACAAGGAAGGTCACACTTCAGCTCCTGACATCACATTCCATAAGGATCACTGCACGGAATGGGTTGAGCTTGGTGTGTTCCCCTGTTTCTCCTATTCATGCCTGATTTAAGGCTGAAGATTTGCTGGAAGGTGTGCAGAGGAGGGTGAGTGCTGTCAGAAAGTGCTTTCTAATGTTTAGTGAGAATCTCTTTTCCTGCCATTGAAACCATCAGTTCAGGTCCTCCCCACTGGAGCAACAGAAAACCAGTTTGCTCCTTCTTCCATGTGGGAGCCTTTTAGATATTTGAAGGCGAGTATCATATCACCTCTCCATCTTCTCTCTTTACCCAACTCCCTCAATCATCTCTCACAAGGTTTGGTTTCCAGGCCCTCAGAAGGTGGCCCACTGGACATTTTTAAAAAGAAGTTGGATGGCCACCTGTTAGGGATCCTTTAGCTGTGATCCCTGCATTATAGGGGGTTGGATTGGTGACCCTTGTTGGCCCATTACAACTCTAGAATTCTGTTATTCTATTATTGGTTAGTGCCCCCTCTGCTGGTGGCAAAGGCTGCCACTGCAATGCAGGGACCAGTTGTGGGGCATCCCCCTCTTGCAAAACATCAAGATGCATTATATTCAATTTGACAACACAGGGGAGGGGAGAATGAAGGCAATTATATGTTTAAAATGTGGGGGGGCATTCCCCGGTAATCAGATTAGAACAATTTGCTGGGAGCTTGGATTCAGGGTCTTCAACGCTGTGTCAAGATCCCTTGAGCGTTATGATCAAAAAAGCCAAGCAGAATGTAAGGATAATAAAAACATGGAGGGTGTTTTTGGGTGGAATTATAAACAGAAGTGGTTGCTGTCATTTTGCCCTAATCAAGGCCAGCCCAGGACCTGTCTGCTGTCATATATTTTTTTCCTGGGGCATTTAATGCCAAATGTGTTTCCTATTTAACCCATTCTTGGTTTTCCACTTGAAGGAACTATGGGTGAATCCAGGAGAGGATCTGCTTGGCAGGACAACCTAATTCCTTCCGCCTATGCTGCAGCTTCAGCTTAGTCAAACAAATGGTGTGACAGTGGGGGGGGGGGGCACTGGAGAGTCACATTTCATCCTGGAGTAAACAAATGTGCTTTGCATTTAAGTGTTGGGGGTCAGTGGCAGCTGAACACACCCCGCCTCTTCTAGTCCTTTCTCTCCAGCCATCTCTTTCTCACAGCTGCACTGAATATTCTGCAGTCTCAGTAATTGTTCTGAATGGAGCCCGTCTGAAACTGCTGAAGGCACCATAAGGAATAACAGCTGTAATTCCTGCTGCATTGCAGGCGGTTGGACTAGATGCCCACAAGGTCCCTTCCAATGCTACAGTTCTGTGATTCTGTGACCTCTGAAGGTGTTGGATACTCCTTCATTGGAGATTTTTAAACAGGTCAGATGTCTGTCTGTTCGAGATACTTTCTCTCTGATTCCCGCTATACAGGGGGTTTGGCTAGATGACCCCTGGGGTCCCTCCTAATTCTGCAAATCTCTGGTTCTATTATCTGCGGCAACTCACCCAGGGATCTAGAAACAGATACAGAGCCACATCCTACTCCATCTTCACTCCAGCCAGATTTCTCTTAGGCTTTCCAAAATGCTTATCATTGGCCTGGTGAGCTCAAAACAGATGCTCCCCAAACAACATCCCTGCACATCAACTTGGAGTTTGTTTTGGAAGGACAAAAGGAAGCAGGAAGCAGCAGCAGAAACCAGTCTCCTTGAGCAATGTCTTCCAGGACTTGCTGCTCACCCTTTTTAGCCTTGGCATAAGCAACAACTTGGTAATGATAAAAAAGATATACATTCTTGTTTACAATTATCCTTTAGTGACATGGGTTATTTTAACGGGGATTAACCAATCCTGCCTCTTAATTAGAGCCAGAAGGTCAGGGACTGTGGCTCTTTCATTATCCCATAAGCAACTAGGAGCCATTTGCAATAGACAAGGCTGGTTGCCTTTTTACAACTGGTCTCCCAAACCAGCTTATTCAGTCTTTCTCAGGTATGATGGAATGAGATAAAGGAAAATATATTGAAGAAGGCAGACATGACACAGATGACTCCAGTGAGAAGAAGCTAGGACCTGGAAGAGACAAGAAGGTAACAGGCCATAAATCAACATCAGGAGACATGTGTTGAGGCAGCAGTGCAATGCAGCAGCAAAAAAGGCTAATGCGATTCTAGGCTGCATCAGTGGAAGTCTAGTGTCCAGATCAAGTCACAGTACCACTCTATTCTGCCTGGGTCAAACCCCATCTGGAGTCCTGTGTGCAGTTCTGGGCACCACAATGTAACAAGGATATTGACTAGCTGGAAGGTGTGTGGAGGAGGGCAGCCAAGATAATCCTCCTCCTCATATTATTTATCTTATTATTTATCCACCTTTCCATAGTTAAAACAATGCTCAAGGTGGCTTACAACATGAAAAATATTTACGTAATTACAAACATAACAAAACTAATTTTCATAAACAATAAATAAAACAAATAAAAAGTACACAACCAAACTGAATAATTTTCATATAAACCATAATATGATTTAAAAATAAAGATACCAAAATTAATATCAATATCAGCAAGACATAAAAAAAACCCAACTTATGAGTAGTGGTTTAGCCATGATTCCTGCATTCCTCGGGGTTGGACTAAATGATTATTTGTGTACATTCCAAACTCTAAAATTCTGTGATTTTGTGGGTGAGGGGGTTGAGGCTGTTTAGTTTGGAGCAGAGGAGTCAGGACTCAGCTGTACAGCTGCAAGTAGAACGTTTTAAGTGTGTTTTTAGTGCAATATACAATGTGGCACTAGATAGTGATGGTGAGCCATATGGAAAATTCAATGTATTTTTTAAAAACACTTTTTTAAATATTAAAAAAGCATTTTCAGAACATTATTAACATGTGTGCGGATTCCACCTAAGAGGGGACAGCATAACCATCTTCAAATACCTGAAGGGCTGGCACAGAGCCAGCTTGCTTTCTGCTGCTCCACAGTATCCAAACCAGTGAGTTCAAATTGCTGAGCAGAAAGCCAGTTTGTTCAACCCCACCATTTTTAACACATGCCTGTTTTATTTTTCCTTTTTTCAAAAAACTAAGTTTGAGTTTTTCAGCAATTTTCTCTCCAATAGTTTAATTTTCCAAAGAGACTTTTATCTGATTAATCGGACTACAATAAAGCCCAGAGTGATTTGCATTTAAGACACCGTAGCATATTAATTCTTGTCAACGGGAACCGAAAACATCTTGCAAGTCGTCGGCACATTTGAATTGACGGTGATACTCTTCGCTACCTTGGAAAATTGGTTTAGTCGTCTCTGTTCTGCAATGAATGCAAGAAAGATGGAAATGGTTTCAAATTCAAAAATGGGATTATGGGGCTGATGTAGCAGCAGTGAAGTTATCTCGCCTCCAAGTCCTTGGGACTCCGCATGAGTCTGTTCACACATACATAGGGACCTTTTCTTCTTCATGCAAAGCACAGCTAAACTATGGAACTCCCTCCTGCAAGAGGCAGTGATACACCCACCAACTTGGACGTCTTTAAAAGAGGATTTGAAAAAATCATGGTTATCAATGGCTAGTAACCATAGTGACCGTACTCTGGTTCCATGGTCAGATGCAGTAATGCTTCTGAATACCTCTTGCTGGAGGGCTCTTCTGCTCACATCCTGCCTGTGGGTTTCCCTCTGGGGCACCTGGGTGACCACTGGGAAGGCAGGATGCTGGACTGGGTGGGCCACTGGCCTGATCCAGCACGGCTCTTCTCATGTTCTTAGATTCTTCAAAAACAGCAGGATTCTTAGTGATCTTCCATGGAAGCCCCACACAGAACACTCAACAGCACAGCTAGATAGTTGAAGTGTGGAGTCACAGTCTGGGGTCTGAGTGCCCCAGAGAAGAGGCAAGTGACATACCAGCCAAAGCTGACCGAATGCAAGTAGCCATGGCTACCACCTGGGCATCCTGTAGGATCCAGACTGTGAACTTGGCCTTTCAAGGGAAGTGCAGAATGCAACCCCATCTAGAACTGGGAGCTGTCCTGTTCTTGGCCACTAAGGCCTACTGTCCTCGTGTCTCATCTAGATTTAATGTTGCTTTCCTTCTCTTCTTTCTTTGCTCAACAAAACCAGTGTAGCATAGTGGTTGGAGTGGCAGGCTAGGACTTGGGAAAGACTGGGGTTCAAGCACCCCCACTCTGCTGAAACTAATTCATAGGTGGTATATGCACCCTGTAGGGACGCGGGTGGCGCTGTGGGTAAAACCTCAGCGCCTAGGACTTGCCAATCGTATGGTCAGTGGTTCAAATCCCCGCGGCGGGGTGCGCTCCCATCGTTCAGTCCCAGCACCTGCCAACCTAGCAGTTCGAAAGCACCCCCCGGGTGCAAGTAGATAAATAGGGACCGCTTACCAGCGGGAAGGTAAACGGTGTTCCGTGTGCTGCGCTGGCTCGCCAGATGCAGCTTGTCACGCTGGCCACGTGACCCGGAAGTGTCTGCGGACAGCGCTGGCTCCCAGCCTATAGAGTGAGATGAGCGCACAACCCTAGAGTCTGGCAAGACTGGC